ATTAAATATTTATATTAAATATTTTATATATATTAGATAAACTTGAAAAAAAATTAATTCATTAATAAATTATTTTCCAGTTTATTTTTCATAATACTACCATACATTAGAAAATACTTTCTCGGAATTCACTCTCCCCGGAATTCACTTTCCAAAAGAAAACAACTTTCTTGCAAACAAATAAAGCCTAAAAAAGACATTGTGTTCCCTTTCTCTTCTCAACCAACTAGTAGTCCAAATATCTTTTATTAATACCTGATCATTAAGGAATCCTTATTTTTAAATTAGCTCTCATACTAGCCCATTATCAATTATTAGTCGCCATATACTTTAAAGGAGAATATGTTTAAAACCTTGGCCAACATTAAGCCAGCTAGGAGAGCTTCATACCTTCTGGTATTATTAGATGATATAAACTTAAAACATAATATATACTTAAAAACATATTTTTTAAGGTTAATAAACAAAATCTTGTCTCCAAACTAGAACATATGGCGTGATACATCTACAAGTGACTTATTAAAGTAGTACTCAACTATGAAGTCCATTATCCTGCATAAGAGATAAACCTATTAAGAGTTGTCACCCTTTTTATGAGCTTTTGTACATCCCTGACTTACAATAGAGGTGTTATATCTAATATATTTTGTATATAATTGCAGATGACTACAACAACTATAACTAGTATATAATTATGACTGATCACAATAATAGTAGTCACTATGTAAATTATAATTGATCACAACAGTTGAACCTAAAAATGTTTAAAATAAATAAATAAGTTATAATGATAAAGATTAATAAATTTATATATGATTAGTTAGTTATTTGAACGGAGACTACTGTGATTGATTGGTATCATAATCGACCATTTGAATGAGGACAAATATAATTGATTGGTATCATAGTTGGATTTTTGGATGGAAACTATGGATACAAACATGTGATTAATCAAATCTTTGGATAGAAATCAATGTGATTGGTTGGTATTATAGTCAACTATTTAAAAGGAGACAATGGATACGAACATGTAAATTAGTCGATTGTTTAGATAAAGAATAACATAGGTAATTTAGTGTCATAATCAGCTATTTAGATGAATACTATGAATATAGATACGAGTATTAATTGCCACTTAGATGAAGACTAATGTGGATAGTTCGTGTTAAGGGGAGCGCTTTTATATGTGTCGAGCCGAAAATATAATTCAAATTTATGTTTTGGCTTCGTTAGAAATTAGAGTTATACCTCCTGCATTTTTCGATGCCCCAAATGACACATGCTACTTTCAGTTTGGTTTTTTTTTTTTTTTGTACACCTGTTGTTGTCCTGCCTAAATGGCACATGCTACTTTCAGTTTGTTTGTTTTTTTTGTACACCTGTTGTTGTCCTGCCAAGCTTTATCTTCTAGGTTAAATTAGACAAGAATCCAACTAGACAATGCTATAGAGAAAAACTTTTGTAATAGAGTTTCCTTACCTAGAATGATAAGTTCTGAGATTATAGATCATTTATTACAAGGAAAACATAATTCATATTTATGTCTAAAACCCATATGTTTAATAGCAGGAAAACATAATTCATATTTATTTCTAGAACCCATATGTTTAATAGCTTTGAAGCCTTTGTGATTAGTACTTAAAAGTGCATTCTCATTAAGGATTTATGTCATCATATTGCACTTAAAGTATCATTAAATTCCCTAACAAAAGCATGTTTTATATTAGCAAGTCTAAAAATATAATATACCTTTAATTCATGGTAAATGTTCATCCTAAATGCAGGTCTATCACATAAATAAAAGGATTGATTGATGAGTTTAAGGATTGAAATTGAAAGGATAAAAAGAAGGCCAAACTTAGCAAAGTGTTGCTGGTGCATTCCAAACTCGAACACCGTTCAGTAATTTGATCATATCTGGAGCTGTAGATATCAGATTTAGGTCCATTTTATATCGATGGAAAGGTAAGACATAGACCTACAACTTTCATATGAAGTCAAAGACTCAGTTCTGCCGTTTTCAAGCCCAAATCTTAGCAACAACGAAGACGTCGGAAGCTGTCCTGCAGCTCAAGCACTATTCGGTTTTTGGCTCATATCTTGAGTTCTAGAAGTCCAAATGAGCTCTGGTTTTTTTTGATGGAAAGCTGAGACAATTGCCCACAGATTCCACAATTCAGTTGGCTATAATTCTGATGTGAGCAATGACGTTTTGGCCAGCCAACAATATCAAAAATCAGCCCACAATATCAAAAAACCAGCAGCCATTAATGTCAAAAACCAGCCACCAAATCAATGGATGCCCACCAATTCTTCAATCAATCAATAGTTCTGAAACTTAGCCTATAAAAGGAGGCATTGTCCATGTATTTAGTCATATTAATTTTCAGATCAAAGTTATCTTCTTGCTTTCTCTCTACATCTTTGTAATGTTCAAGTTTTCTTTTATGCTATAGTAATCTCTTGTTTATGCTCTTTCATTTCCTTTCCTATACTTAGTTAGCTTATATTATGTTTATGTTCTTATATTGTTTATTTGTGTTTTTCTCCTTCTTAATGTTTAGCTAAGTTAATTATGTCAAGGTGAAAAGGTTTCTCTAATGGTGTTAGAATAGGTATAATATAAACTCAACATGAGCTTTAAATGTTTATATCCAAGAAAGATTGTTATTAACATGTTTTATCTTTTTATCTTACTAATTCTTAATACCTTGCTTATTAAATGTTTAATTTAGATTTGTGTTGTATAATATTTGGTACATCAAATGCTTGATCTTTCATAGTTTTCGGCCGAAATCGTTATTATGATAGAAACTTGATTTGTTGTTAACATAAACTAGCAACATGAATGCTTGATGATATTTATAAGTATGGTATTACTTATATAAGATAATTAATATGATCATGTTAGTAATTTATAAAACATCAACTCTTTGATCATGTCACTTTATTAGAAAATAAACTTTCCATGCCTGATCAACTCTTTGATCATGTAACTTTATTAGAAAATAAACTTTCCATGCCTTAGATCGTTGTTTATAGGAAATCCATCATAAAGTCTATTCTTTATAGCAGCAATTTATTTCATAAATGGCACTGCAGGCAGATAGTGAAAATAGAAATTATTAATGAAACACAACATAGAATATTTAAAACTTCAACACAGCAATGAATTAACATCTATTTATCGCATTTTGCCATGTATTATGTCCCATAGCAAGATCTTTGCAGCTCATACTGGTAAATACCAGCCATAACATCACCCTACCTTGGATGATTACTACATTTCATCCACTTCCTATTGCCAATGAAAAGCTAGACTTGGCTCTCAAAAACTTGGCGAATTGATAGACAATTCAAAAGAAATTCAAAGCTACCACACTGCTATCAATACTACTGCTTCTCGGGCTTATCTGGTTCTTCTTCCTTTTCAGGATCTTCCTCCTCCTCCTCTTTCTTTTTCTCTTCTTCTTCTTCCTCATCTTCTTCAGGAGGATCATAGGGCAATGGGGGTGGTATCGGTGTCTTCATAGGGCTAAACTGCGGGAATATATCAGGCCTACTCCCCGGCTTCGGCCTTTCCCACTCCTGCCATGCAAATAAGATGAAGGAAAACCACCAAGTTCAGATATCAATGAACTCTACAGAAGACTATTATTCACCATGCCATGTCAAGCAGGAGATATTCAGGACAAAACTACAAGCCCATAATGTTCCCAAAAGATCTAATTGATGGAATTAAAAATTTCAAAGATTTAACATATAGAGGAAGTTTCATTTATTTCCCATGAATTCATAAGAACCAAACCAGGGCCCAACTTTATGCTTTCATCAAAAACAGCATAACATTTGAAGAACCACATGAAAAAGAAGATTTACACTAATAAACAATTTTTCAGTGGAGTAGAGACAGAAGATGAAAACTATCTAAATGAATAAAGCAGCTTTCATAATTAGAACCATTCACCTAGCAATTCCTTGTGCAACTCACATAGCAATTCAAAATGTTCACGCAAATTTTTCAAGCTTCAAAGCTCAAGATATACGGGAATAGAGCAGTTGACTAGATAACCAGTCACTCAGACAATGATTCCCTCATGCATGATGTCAAAAGGCAACATGGGTGATTTTGAGCGCAGTATATCCTTTTTCTCTCTATCTATCCAAAATTGCATGTTTTTCAAGGAATCTACCACAAAATACAACTGTAGCCCCTGATGCAACACAAGCCAAATGGACAAGTTGCAGAACTACAACTTCAAGAATCAGATTTCCATCTCTAATTATGATGCATATACAAAATACAACCCTGAAAATTTGCAACAACTGGGCTTGGGTGGCTGTACCTGATTATGATATATCATCCTAGATCAAATCAACCTTGTTTGTTATCCAATAAAGCAACCTTATTAACTCTCCATGAAAAAAATTGAATGAGATCAATTAGTAGAGAAAATCAAATAGCAGAATTGGATGCCAAAATTCTAGTAGTTGAGCAGAAAGATACTTTTGGTTGTGGCTTGGATGATCTTATAGTCTACATGACCTGGTTAGACAATATACTCAAATTTGAGTGCTCTGCGGAACTCATTAAGCAAAAAATCAAACTCTATATTCCACCCACCACCAAGAAAGAAGGAAAACCCAACACCTCAGCCTTTGAGCATGTTTCAATCAATAGCCCTATGAAATCAAGCAGACAATAACTTGATCCACTTTGCATCTATAAAACTAAGCTCACATCAACCATAGATGCTCACTAGTCATTCTTAAGAGCTCAACGAAGCCTAATGAATCACAAGGATGAAGCATAGATAAAAATAAGAGCAAATGATATCATTATCCAAATAGCACGACACTCGGAAATAATCTACAAACACAATATTTGAATATCAATTGAGCATATGACCTAGTTTCAGTTTTGAATTCAAAAGGGTGTTTGAAGACCATTTGAATACATTGTCAGCTTCACTTGGAATTGTTACTAACTGAAGAGCTCCTTTGCTAAATTAATACCCATATTGACTGTGGCACATTTTCTTTAGATATTTTTGCACATCACCACCCTCAACAGCACCTCTTTCGTGTTTAATACAGATAGAAGAAATTCGAACAACAAAAGAAATCAAAGATGTGAAACATGGATTATCATAATGAAAACACCCCTTCCTTGATTCCTTCCCCTGAGCAACTTTCTTCGAAACATGTCTTTGAGGGTGTTTAACTTAGGTTTTGACGACACTAATTCAACATAATTAATAATATTCTTTGACACGACAATTTCAGAATAAGTAAAAGTAGTAGTAGAGAGAGAGAAGTACGATAGGGAAATCGAGAGGACTTCGGCGAGTCAATTTCTCTTCATCAGGTGCCATAGAAACAACCTGCATCTGCTTCTTCTGTTTCCTGCTCCCGGAACAAACCAATCGTCCAGCCACAAAGCATCCGCAAAATTGGCTTTTAAAACAAGATGAAGACGACAACGCTGAAGCTGTTGCTCTTCCTGCAGATTTAGGTGGCGCCGCTAGGGGTTTCGAAGTTGAACATATCGAGAGGTAAATGGATGCCATCGTTTTTTTCTCCCTATTCGAATAATCTCTTATGGAACAGGTTGCTGTTGTTCTTCTTCACTGATTTGATTCCACAAATTCGGAAGAGAGACGGACTCTGTCCTTTTAATTTCTGGTATCAATCAATACGGCGCGAGAACAAGCAGCTACCGCCTAACCCTCTCCCTAAGCTGCTAGAACACACCTCAATTTTTATTTATTTTTTGCCGATTATCCTCCACCCTCGTTTTCTAGGCGGGCGTGGTTTATCAATTCTCCTATACCTGTCGCGGGTCTTATTTCTGGGCCGGCCCAACTCCCAGCTTTCCACCAAGCCCGACTCGCGCTGAGATCCACCAGCACGTTTAAAGTTACCAATTCCTTTTTTGAAGAACTACTACTGGTTTTGAAAATTTTCTTTGCCGTCTCATTTTGTTGTTCGATGTTATTATAATATATAACATAATTTTTTTTATGTATTTAAATATATTTAATTTTTATAAAATCAATCTTTAAAGTGATATATGGTACGTAATTACTGAATCATACAAACATTTTATTAACTTAATATATACTTTAGAAGATGTATGTGTAGTTAATACAAATAAATTATCGTAAGTTTTTTCAGATTAATAATGAATAATTCCTCGAGTTTTGGTGCATTGGCTGGAGGCTAGAATCACAAGTCCAAATCAATCCTATGCTCATTTCACCTTTTAAAAACGACAATAAGATAGGTCTTTACATCTGTTTAAACGACGACGTTAACATTCATAGATAATTTAATTTCTGTTAATAAATGTATAGAATTGGATTAAAAATTGTTCTTAGAAAAAATGAAATGAATGTATATAGTCTAAAGAATGTTATATACAAAATAAAAATACTTAAGACTATGGAGAGGATCGTGTTATAAAACATTATATGTAAAAGGTTAATGATTGTTGATTGAAATTGTGCATTGTCGCATGTCTTGGAGAACAATCAAGTAATTAATGGGAAGTGGAAATATGAGCACTATAAATCATATTTGGTTGAACTTTGTCTTAAACAACATGGCAACAAACTTCGATGTTCTTTCTTTGTTTATGAAAAATTGGACTTCATGCAAGGTGCAAAACAACTTAATTATTATAAAATAGTGGAATTAGTGAAAAATAAGGGATGGTAATATTAGTTAATAAATAACTAAGCCATGTGATTTAAAGTCATTATCTTATACTCAATTCAACTATGATTAGGATACCATTATTTGTTTCTTTGCGCACCAAAAAATAAGCTTAGAACAAAACAATACATAATAACTGGTAGTTGAATATTATGTTATGAGAATAATTAGCTCCATCTAAATTACAATAAACTTTAAGACAAAGATTAGTAGAAGCAGAAAATAAAAGATCTTAACTTAGACTATCTTTTAAAATATTTAACTACTTTAATGATAACGTGGTTGATGCATATATTAATTTAAAATATTAATAAAATAAATAATATTTGGTTGAGTGATCACAGGATAAATAAGTCTCTTAACCAATCTTTTGTAATATAATGAATTACAAAGAATGTCCCCATTAGAGTTTGTTTAACTTTAAATTCGTCTTACAATTGCTATAATAACTTCTTTTTCATTCTTTTTGGAGCTCAATGGAATAAAAAAGCATGAGAAGAACTTGAATAACTTGAGTCAGCAAGAATACCTAAAAATATTTGTATTCACTTAGATAAATGCCTTGTTTGGACTTAAAGACTTCAATACCAAAATTTTTTTTTGTCTTGCTAAGATCCTTGAGATGAAAACATTGGCTAAGAAATGATTTTAGACATGCGATAGCTAATTTGTTATATAATGATAATATCATTAACATAAAATAAAATAAAAATACTCATAATGACAATATTATTAACATAAACTAAATAAAAGGTGAGTAACCATGTTTGTAACAATAAAATAATAAGTAATTAGTTTAGATTGTGTAAAACTAGCATAAAAAAAGCGGGAGAAAACTTAAAAAACTAATTTATAGAGACTTGTTTAAACCTATAAATAGTTTTATTAAAATGACAAAGTAATTATTTATATATGCTTGTAACTCGGTGGAAGTTTTATAAAGACTTATTATTATAAATATTCATGTAAAAATATATTATTAACATTTGATTAATGAAAAAAATCATTTTTTAACCATAGCTATAACAAGAAGAACTTGGCCAAAGCAAGTTTCACAGCTAGAGAAAAAGTCCCGTGATAATCAATACTTTTAATTTAAGTATATTCTTTAGCCACAACCCTAGTAGAGTTTGATAGAACCATCAAATCATTACTTAATCTTATATATCTATTTGTATTAATGTGTTATTTATTTTATTGAAGATGTACAAATAACCAAATGCTTTTTTTGTCAAGAGCCTCCCACCATTCTAGAGTTTGCATTATTTTTTAAAAATACTTGTGTCAATGGTTCCATAAGTCATGAGAAGTAGTAAAACAATCATATGATAAATAATTTTCTATTGAAAAATGGATACATGCACGTGAAGGTAGTTTTATAAAAACATAAAAACATAGGTAGTTTTATAAATGTGTATTGAATTCTCCACTCATTAGATTTAAATTATTTTATTTGAATAATTTACACATGTTAATACATATATTCAAACATATATTTTCTATGGTAAAGTGCATATTTAATTTCTCTTATTCTTGTTTGATTAGATGAGTTTCTCTTATTCTTGTTTAATTTAAAAGAGGGATACCATTGCTAGAAACACAAAATAATATTAGTTATTGAGAATTTATGAATAAACAAAACATGAAATAATAATAAAAAGATGATTGTGAAAGTAATATTAAACATTAAAATATATAAAAGTAATATTAATTAATATAAATAGTTGGATCATAATCTTAAGGTATCTCGTCAAGTTAACTTGACACAACAACTCTAATGAAATTCATTTTTTTCTTTTCATTGGTATCTGGGATTGTAATAAGTGTAATTTTGCTTAAAAATATAGTAAAATAATATTTATTTTAATATTAAAATAATCTAAAATCATAAAAAAAATTCAATAAAAAATTAAGTTTTTGTATATATAAAAAAAATCATAGCCCACCACCGTGAATTCTAGAGCCACCATCTTCATAAAAGACACCAAAAAATCACAACCCAAACCTCCATTTTTTATTGCTTGTTTGGAATTGTGGCTGTGATTGCGATTCAAAGTACTTTTTGTTTAGAAATGCATTAAAATATATATATTTTATTTTTTTAAAAAATTATTTTTGAGATCAGCACATCAAAAAGATTCAAAAATATAAAAAAATTAATTTTTAACATAAAAAAATAAATTATTTAAAAACAAAGTGAAACTGCATTTCCGATCCCAATTGTCCTAACCAAAATATCAAAAAATATTGTTGTGAATCCTGGTCTTTTCCATAACTAATACCTTTTTTCTACTGTTTACATGACATCCAATCCATAGTTCTTTGCAACCTATTAAGAAATCTTAAAAAAATAAAATCCTTGGCAATTATGTTTTTTAAAATAAATTATAAAATTTAATTTTTAATCGATTTATAATTAAAAAAATAAAAAAACTTAATTAAAAAAAACAAAAAAACTATTTGAGTCAAATGAACAAACCTACTCATATAACACAAATTAAAATTAATTATAAAATTTAAATTCAATATTGAATGATGAAATTAAAAAAAATCAACTAAAAAAAACAAAAAACACCCAAGTTAACTTGTCTAACCTCATATAAAACAAGTACTAAAAAATTTTAAATTAAAAAAGACAATAAAAAAACTTGAGTTAATTGAAGATAACCTACTAAACTCGAGTGAAGAGACCAGAACAACTATATAGAAATTTAATTAAAAATAAAAGTTCAATTTCCAATCAACTTAATATCGAAGGATGAATTTTAAAAAAATAAATAGATTAAGAAATTGATAAAAAATACCTGATTTAATATGACTAACCTGTAAAGTTAGCGAGTTAGATTATAAGACCATGATAGCTTTATGAAAAAAAAAATAAAAAACTTAATTTTTAATTAATTTAATGTTAAAATAATGAAGTTGATAAATAAATAATTAAAAAATAACAAAAACACACACGACTAACTTATAAAACTTATAACATTAGTTATGAAGCCGGAAAAATTTTTAAAAAATAAATTAAAATAAATTATAAAGTTTAATATTTAATAAATCTAATATTAAAAAATTAAATATTAATTTTTTTTTTTTGGGGTTAAAATCCTCCCAAATGCGAGGATAAAGGACAAAGTGAAAAGCCAAGCAATTTTAAATTTTAATACATGTTTCCAGCTATGTTACAGGTATAAAAAACATGCTATTTGTTGAGAGTGGGATTTGAACCCACGCCCTTTCGGACCAGAACCTTAATCTGGCGCCTTAGACCAACTCGGCCATCTCAACAAGACATCTCCAGCTCATATAACTTAATAATTACCTCTTGTTTTGTTTTTCTTCGGAACACGAACAACTTATAGAGGACAGTTGAAAGCATTGATAATTGAATGACAGCGCTGAAGAGCATGCAATCAAGGTATCTGGTATTCAGTTTCCTTGTCAGTTTGTTTGTTTGTTTTTTTAATTAAAATCATTTTTCAATTAAAAATAATTTAAAATAAATCAACTGTTTTTATGCATGCTAAAGAAAACATTTTTAATAAAATAATTGAATCCAATCTTATAGGAACATGTTTAATAATGCTATTGCAACATTTAAAAAAAATATTTTTTAATTATTTTGGTATAATAACGTTAAGAATCTCAAAAAATAAATAAAATAAAACTATCAATTCAGCAAAATTAATTTTGAAATTAATATAACAAACACGTTTCCATGTGTCAAATGCCCATAACCACTCTGGAATTAACAATATTGCTATTAATAATTTAGTGCATAGTTGTGATCGCGACTTCAAATTCAATTTTCCCACTCATTAACGGGAACAAAAAAAAAAAAAAAAAACTTATGTCCCAAAACGCGACCTTATCCAAACCAAATCCCGCAATTCACAAATCGCGATTCGCAGGTAATGCAAGCATTTAAAAAACTCCAAAACATGGGCTCCACACCCGTTAGATCACAATCCAACGGCACATAATTCCTCCACAACAATAAAAATGAGTGAGATTCACCGATGTGTAAGTGGGGCCACCGCCCACACACAACGACGAGAGCGGCATGCTC